TTCCCACGACACTCCCAGGCTGCGAGTGAACTGGACACATGTGCTCCATGAGTCGCTAGCCATTGGAGGTTTCAGGAAGAGCTGTGGCTGTCTCGTTTGCCCTGTCCCTGCTTGTCAGGAAAAATAGTGGGTGTTATGTGCTTCTATTGTGGAGTCGCTGAGCAGCACTTGAGCCAGCAGTACCGTTCATGAGGCTGACCCCTTACAAAAGGAGGCAGGCCCGCGCTTCTGTCGGATCCCTCCAGTATCCCAGGTGATCCTCCTGGCGCTGCCCATCGGAGTCTTGAGCTGATACCTCAGTTTGCCACGCTGAGCTTCGGAGCTTGAGAAGACAAGTGGCCCAAGGTTCGAACTTCGAGAATGCTTACTCACAGGCATCGTCTCTTTCGAATGGCCGAAGGCTCCACGACATTGACTTGGAGTGTTGCCCTGAACGAATAGTCCTGAGTGGCCTTCCATGCAAAATCCGCTGAGGCTATCCTTTCATGAGCACCTTCGGAATAGCACCACGAGATCCACAAAGTCTCCGGCCCAGACAATCCGAGACAGCGCTTGTGAAGCCAGTTTGCTTCCAGCAGGACTTGCCAGGTTTTCACCTGCAGTCCCTTGTGTGTCACATGAGCGAGCTGTGATATCAGCAAGAGGATTTGCGCAGAAAGCAGTCTGAGGTTGGAGCCACATGAAGCTTGTCTCAAATCATGAGTTCTGGTCTCCTCCTAGCTTGGAGGAGAGGATCAAGAAGTTTCCCAGGTTAACTACCTCTCATGTCTCGGCACGAGCCATTTCGAGCGCACAAACTGACGTGAACCGCCGCAGATCCGAAGGCCAACGCGTCCGTCGAAAAGAAAAGCATCTCAGGCTCAGCAGATGCAACCAGCTCGGGGTTCGCGCTGGTTTCCGGAAGAAGAAGTCTCATGGAGTCGGCAGTGCCCCAGCACAAAAGTGAGAGGATTATCCATGCAGACACGCGCCATCTAGAGGTCAACTCGCATGTCAATCCCACGGCTAAGGCTATTCCTTATCATGAGCGATCCCGGATCAAGCCGTGCATCCAACGTGGCCTCTCGGTGGAAGTGTTGTGGTTGGTTGTTGCGGGTTGTCACGGCTGCAGTTGCTTGGCAATGAGTTTGATGCTGATGTACAGACTTGGGCTGCAATATGCTGCAAGGTGTCCTGGTTCGTTACGGCAGTGATCATGGTCGCCACGGCTGCTCGGCACGTGTCGCAAAGCGTCCTTACACGACGACCTCCCCATGTGGATCTGTCGGAGCTTCCTGGCTGCGGAGGTGTCCATGTTGCTCGAGTCCCTGCCCGAGTTCAATGTTACCCCGGCCGAGTGCAAGCCCTGGCCAGAGCGGCTTTGAATGAACATGGATTTGGATGGATTTGGATTCTACCAGTAGATCCTGGCAACGCTACTTCTAGTTCTGTTCTCTTTTGGCTTCTTCAATCCCTCAGATCTGCGTGTTGCGGCCGCAAGCGCTGATGATGGATTGGTACACAGGGTGGTGTCAGCCAAGGATAACCGTTGCAAGCTGCCGTCCTGTTCCTCGTCACTTGCCTTACATCAGTTGTGCCACGTTGGAACACAAATCGTGGATGCACAGTGTGGCATTCATGCGACTGATTGGTTTTGGGGAATGAATGGAAAGCCGACTGGCAGGCCCTGCGTTTGAGTATGTGGAGCTCGTTTGCATGATCGTCTTCACCATAGACTACGTGCCTCGTTTGAGTGCAGATGCTTCGGTCAAGGGAAGACTTCCACCGAAGTGAATGATTTGGCAGTCAACACGGGAGAAAGACATCCTGATTTCCTTTGCACTTGTGGCTGATTCCATATAGAACTCAGTGCATGCTGACGAGAGCGGTGCTGAAAGAACACTGGATGGAGATATTTCAATGATCATAAGTTGCGCTGTTAGACTGGCAGTCCAAAGCCAAAGCTCCCTGCCTCAGGTGCTGCGACTTGCATTGGCGGTGCGCTTAGTTGCCCTGTAAACGACTGCAGACGCTGTCTTCACTCTTGTTCAGCTTCACTCGATGAGACGTGTGCAGCTCCTCATGGACTTCGGCTCAGGTGCATCGTGCATTACCCCAAGACATCGGGCTGGTGGAGAAAGAAGCCCCGGCACCCAGAACACGGACTATGAAGTCATGTGTAAAGTGCAAAGATACGAGACGAGATTTGCAACAAGTGCTGTCGAACGCGGCTCTAAGGTGGGTCGACTAAAGATGACTTGGAAGTATGCCTCCTGTCAGCATACATGCAAGTTTAGTCAGCAAGTGAGCCACAGGAAGCAAGTGAGCGACCGGTGTGCGCTCAAGAATCCTGCGAAGTTGCCTGACAGTTGGCCATGCTTAACGGGCCGTTGATCCCTCGGAACCCAAGGCAATACAAGTGCTGAACCTGGTAGACTTTTTCGCCATTGCGCCGTACTACATCTCTCTCAGTTCCTTGGGTAAAGGGAGCCTTTGACATGCCCCTGCCTTTGAGTTCTTGTGTTTCCTCTTTCGTTTGCCACCAGCCGATCAGAAAGAATGGCGACAGTCCTGTGATCTGTCTAAGGCGGCTTGTATCAGGGAAGCACCGCCGCACTTCGAGTGCTGCGACTGGTGAGGGTGCTGCTTATCTGGAAGATATTATGCGGATGGTAGCATCCGCTGCCGAGGGAGACTGGTTGAATTGACAAGTTGACTGCAGCTTAATCTCACAGCGGCTTGGTCATGAAGATTCTCATGCAAGAAGATCACCGGGTCTTACAAGAAGTTCGTGCAGTGCAGTAAACCCGCCTCGAGCATGTAGAAAATGGAGAGCATGGAGGTCTTTGGGAAGTGCTGCTCTCAGGTTTCGCTTGCTAAAATCTCCAAAGCTGCGAGACGGTCGCTGCCCCAGTCGTGAGTGCGTAGCAACCGTCCCGCGACTTGAGCTTGGAAGCATCGACGGTGGCGAAGGCGTGGAAATGATCATCAACATCGTCGGGCCCGGTTGCACGAGATTGTTCTGCTTGAGTTTACATGTCAGATTCCAGCTGCACTTTCCTGATGAAGTCCCGTCACCCTGAAGGGACTCGTTGCCTGGAATTCTGTCCGTGTTCTCCTTGACGAGCATTGTATGCATTCTCTTTTCCTCCAGCCTCTGGATCGCCGAGGGGACGTCCCTTGGCTGCATCCTCTTGCGAAGCATTCGGCGTTCAAGCTTTCCGGGCACACTCAGGGAGTATTCTGTCAGCGCCTTCCCCGATGAGTACCCGCTTGGGGTCTACGTCAGGCCGACGACCCTAGATGGCAAAAGGCCACAGCCTGTCCATGCAATGTGTAGCAACGCCCCGAAAGCCTCGCAAGGGCAACTCTCAGATCCCGCACTCCAAACAGGCTTTGTGTGCATGCCTGGAGTGGTAGTATCTCCCGAGACAGTGGCCGGAAGAGTGACGACCAAGGAAATATGGATATGGCCTCTTGAGCTGAACCGGAGAAGTGGTGATTGAGCCAGGGGTTGAGACACATTTAGCAAACTGACGCCATTGCTTGCGGACGAAGCAGCCTGAAAGACTTGACTGCTTACACTAGTCGCAGGGTGATGCGACAAGGCAGGAGGCGAGAGAACGCAGGGCGTTAGAGTACAAAATTATTTAGGTTGCTGCAGGGGTACTTCCGTTCTACACCTCGTCGAAGTCCTGAGTTGTTGTTCAAGTTTCGAAGTCAAGCAGACTACATAGCTTGACCGTTTGGTAGCATGAGAGCAGTGGCCCACACACACTCTCGAGTTCTGCATCCCAGGTGTGGAGCCAACCCCGTTCACTTCAATCTCCCATTGCTTCTGGTGGTTCTTTGTTACTGCTACCCGGCCACTGGTACTCTTTCAAGTTGTGCTTCACGCCTGACCGGCGCATATGACCAAGGCTACAACTGTTGGTTACGGTGGCTCGGTAGAAAAGACTGTGAAGGAAGACTGGCACTTGTGTTGATGCAGTTTATCGCAACTTTAAGGAGATGAATATCCTACGACGACATTAGGAAGGCTCACGGCGATTGGATCCTTTTATGCGCCATCCCCGGCTACCTTTTCTGGCTGCAGTGAACTGGAGCGAGTGCGGCCGCAATAGGGGTGAGTGTTAAGATTTGCGTGTTCAGGCAGGAATTGTGTTGGTGGCAATCAAGCTCACAATTGTCGGTGCGGCCCTTGGTTTCGGGAGCACATGTCTTTTTAGCATGCTTTGTGTTGCTTCGCTTCGCCTTGCCCTACCTTTGAGGCCGTGCCTTGAAAAGGCAGTTTCCACAATGGAATGGACAGGCCAGTTCGGGCTGGTGCACTGCAGCCTTGTCTGTGGGCAGTGTCCATGCTGACTTGTGTGGCCGGGATAGAGAGTGGTGACAAGCATGCCCCACATGTGGTCTGTCGTTTAGAAGTGAGCAGACCGGCCCCATGCCAAAGGCAGTTTGCACACTCTCATCCTCAATCCCAGTATAGACATTAGCGTGCACAGGCCGCATGAAAGAGGCAGTGCCTTGGCAGAATGATGCTGTCGCTGGGGAAGCAGTTGCAGGCATGTTCGACATGTTGTGTGGCTTCCAGAGGTTTAGGAATACAGATCCAAATTGATCCAAAGGTTTGCTGGACCATCCCAATTGCTGTTCTTGCCAAGGAATGTATGGTATGCATTTTAAAAATGCAGTGTGAAGTCACTCTAACAGTTCGAATTCGATGCTCGGGAATCCCGCAGCATCCAGCCGGTGCACATAAAGCGGCTCAGTCCGCACCTTGGGCGTTGCGGCCTCTGGCACTTTCGGATATGATGTCCAAACAGAGTTGCGCGGGATTCGCTTATCTTTTCGGTCCATGCTCGGCCTAAGGCCCTGCTGTTTCAACTCGCTGCGTAAAGGATTTGACGTCAGCCGAGCGCGGTGAAAGAGATGTTCAGTCTTCCTGTCTTGCTCCAGCTTGCAGGCTCAGAAGGCTAGGCGGAAGGCTTGCTGATCTAACTGGAGCTTTGGCAAGTCAGGCCTTGGGTCGCAGTGCTGAGCAGGAGGCCTGGCAGCGCACTCGTTGTGCTGAGGCCTTCAAATCCTCCAAAGCATCTTATCCTGCGATTTCCTGCGGCCAGTGCTCAAGGGCCACGTTTCCAGCTTCAGGACGGACTTCCCGGACGAGTAGCGCAGCACTCGCAGCCTGGCCCTGCCAGCAGCCAGCCCAGGCTGCCCATGCCACGCCGCGCCACTGCAACCTTAAAACTGCAAAAACCGACTGAGTTCGGGCCAGCCCTCGCGGGAAGTCGCCAACGGCGATGGCTGCCGAAAGGAGGCGTCGGAAGTTGCAAGCGACGGGAGGAAGGTCGTAACATGAGCGACTTAGGGAGCCCCTTGCCGAAGTAAGGTACTTAGACTCTTTGCTAAGATCGTGATCAGGCGCCGCAAAGCTGCCGAGCGTGCAGGCAGTGGCCACTTCAGAGTCTACTGAAACTCTGACCCTACCAGTAAGGGCAACCATTCTGTGGACAGCCCGGCTTCTTTGTTTGACAATCCGTAGGATTACTGGATGAGGAGGAGTCTGCCTCTTAGGCCTGTGGATTTGATGTGTTCTCTTGGCCTGGCAGCGTCCGTTTTGGTTCTCGTGGCTTGGCAGATTTGCTGGCCGAGGTGGGTCTGACCCAGAGCTTCTGGCCCGGTGGCTCAGCTATAGGGCTTGAAGGTGGGACGTTGGTAGACACGTACCGGCAGCTCACAGGTCTCGAAGCGACGAGATGCCAGCAAAGGGGCTGTTAGCTCTTTGAGCACTTTGTGAAGTACCGCTCCATGGTTCCTGATGCAAAGCTGGGATAAGTCAAGTACTGGCGGCATCTTCCCAACGAGCCTTCTCCAAGTCTAAGATGTTCATCGAGCGGTGGTACTTCACGGTTTAAACGAAGTGTCTGAGCCCTGGAAGATCGGAGCTTTTAACCTGGCAGCTGAACAGCTGACCTTCTGATTTTTCCAGGGTGCTTGCTCTCCAGGTGTACAGCGGAGCGAGAGCAAGATAGCTTGAAGTTGGATGAGTGGGCTTCGTACATCCGTGTGTAGAACATAATTTGGCACCCCCCAACTGTCAGGTTGCGGAAGCCTACTTGTCTGCAACACCGTACCTTAGCTCAGTCAAGTCTGGCCGCCACGTTTGCAGAGCTGTGCCTTTCCATATATTTCTGCAACAGAATTCCCAGCTAGCTGCTAGCTTCCGGTGCAAACTTACCCCTCAATTTAAAAGACCGTGCTGGACCGGCTGCGGGCCTGTTTGGCTTGCATGCCTAGTTGTTGTGTGGTCGGAGACTGCTACTCCGGTGCCATTCAGTGCTGACGATGCCGGGTTGGGTAATGTTAACTTCATTTTAATGACCCCCTGCTTTGATTTCAAGCCCCGGCCGGGATGGTTGACCAGCGAGGGGTGGGGGGCCGGTCGTACTAGTACTAGTACAGTAGTAGAGTACTACAGTAGTACCTGCTCGGTCCCGCCTCTACTTAGCAGATAAGGGTAACTCACTCACACTTTTTGAGTAACCAGGGACGGGATCATTGTTGAGTTTTCAGGGTCGGGTTTTTAAATTGAGGGGAGGGGGGATGGGGGGGGGGGTTGATAAACATGTAGCGAACATTGAATAATAGGGTCCTCGTCCCAGCACGACCCGGCATGGTTTGAATGTTGTCTGAACACATATGTCATATGCCCCTAGGCTGTGCCACAGGCCGTTTTTCACAATACAGCATACTTTTTCGAACCATGTGGCAGCCAGCTGGCCAATTCACCAGAGCATCAGCATCGCTTTTTCGTTATGCGCGATCAAATACTGGAAGTGCAAGGCCGTTGCTGTTTTCTTCCTGCCAGTATGTACATGTGCTTTACAGTTTGTGCAACAATCAGAGCCCTGAGCCCTGCACCTGCACTTTGCTCAAGGATTCATGCCAACTCTCCCTGGGGTGCTGCCATGGCTGACTCAGATGATGATTATGAAGCTAGGAAAGTGTCCTTGATCTGTGACGAGGAGGATGAGGCCCGTACACAGCTTTGCCTCCAAAATGCCTGTGGTCGGCTTAATGGCATGCCGACAGAGCCATGCGACACTCATGCGACCATCACCGCGAACGTCCGGTTTTGCCTTACGAAAGCATGTGCCCGGGAATCACGGCAAAAGACCTACTATGCATGCAGTCATGCATACACGCGCGCAGAGTAGGTCGACCCAACTCTGGGGTTGTGAGACGATCTCACGAGAAACGTGCTGGTGGAACTTGGAACCAGACTTGCATGCACTCAAATTAGCAGTCTTGCACCGTGCCCACAGACTCATGCCTATGAGCATGAGGGACACGAAAGGGTCGGAGAGACTCGGGTGCGCAAGCACGCGCCAAGGGCGAGCGTGCGCGCCTGCGTGCAGGACGACGCCCGCGTGTAGGGGCCGGCACAAACCCGCAGTAGAGAGTCATAGATTGTCGGCAACAAGCAAGTGAGAGTCGAGAGCGAGAGAGAAGGCCTTTGTCCGGTCACCTCAAGCTCGCGAGAGACAGAACCAAAATGACACCTTCTCATGCCCCTTGCTGCAGATGCCACCTGCCACTGAGGGGCTAAGGCGGCCTTGTCTCCTAAGGCGCACACGACGTAAAGGGTCTGTGCAAGGTCTTGCTGTAACAGCCGGAGATAGAGACAGACAGAGGCAACAGACGGCCAGAGAATTGGCTGGGCCAAACTGGGGACAGAGCAAGACGGACGGAGACAGACACTGACACAACGATAGACGAAAGCAAAGAGGCAGAAGGGCAGACGGACAGAACAATGCAAGCAGGTAGAGAGACAGACATAGACGGCAGCACCAAAGGCAGGAACAGCCAAAGAGACTCAGACATGAGCCTCTGCAGGATCTCCTGAGTTCAGCTACAGAAGGCGCCGAGAGCCTTTTGTCAGCACGGGAGTCCTGCTCACATATGTTCAAAAGTGTTTTCCGAGACGATGTGAGCGAAGGTGATGGGGATTACCACTACGATGGTGGGGAGCTGCATGCGATAGACAGACTGAAGAGGCTGCTCTTTGTGACGTCGGTGTTGATGCTGTGTAACCTCATGCCTCTTGCTCCTTTTGATGCGCACCATCTTCTCACTTGCAGAACTTGTGGTGCGAGGTTTTGGGATCAGCGAAGATACAAGACCTCAACGATGTTGCTTATCGTGTTCGGTCCTGAGTGGGTTGCTTTTGCTTTGCCAGCTCCTGCATCAACCTTTGCCTTTTCGTATCAAATCCGGCTCGACTGCAAGGATCTTCTCTCTCGTGAAGGCCTTGGAATACCTGATGAGAGAAAACTACAAGTCTGATCTTCGGCGAGGAGTGGGACCTTCGGCTGGATTTTTGAATTTGTCGGTGCACGTCTTCGCTTTAAATAGCAGGCTTACTCATGTGACATGCGCGTGGCGCCGCGACGTTTACAGGCTTTGAGTGAACGAGGTCTGCGATGCCAAACGGTACCGAGTTGGGAAACCTGTCAACCCTCCCTACAGAGAAGCAGCACCGACTATTTTCTTTCCACCTTGTAAAGAGCAACCCAGCGTGTTTGGATCACTGTCAAACAGGACTCTGCAGTGGGACGATTGAGTTGAGCTCCCTTTCTCGGTGGTCACCTGCATGGTTCGTCCCGCCTCGCCTTCCTTTGCATTGTAGATTTCAGGGCACCGGTAGGGCTAGACAGAAGCGAGCTTTGGGTGATGCTTCAGCCTGTGCTACCGCTCGTGGTTGTCCTAGAACAGCTTCGCTGGCAAGTGCGCATGTGGAGTTTGTCCTCCCTCGTCCCGGCTTGATCCTTAGCATGGCCTCTCGCGGCCTCACCGTGTTATCCGGAGCGAAAAGGGCAAATTTTGCTATAGGGGCTCGGAGCAACAATTTCAGATCCATGTGTAGGGAACTGTTAGCAGCGCGGCTTGTGGAGGGTCAGTTTTCGTTTGCTTTCTTCGTTCGCTGCTAGACTTGGTCAACAGTGCGATATGCCGCGACTGCTCTCGTGGTGACGGTTGTGGTGTCTGCCTAACGAGTTGCTATTGCCTGTTTGTCTTGCTACTGTACGGTGAAACTGTTCTTTGCAGCTGCAGGCAAAGCAGCAAGTGTGAATCTGTTGCGGTTGTGTCGCATTGTCGCCCATTGTTGCGGCGACAACACATCCACGAGAAATACTGACTTATGCTGCTGTTGCCGCGGCCTCCGTTTTCGTCGCGACGACTACTCGGAACAGCATCAGGAGTGTCAGTGCTGCTAGTGCTAGTTGTTTACCCGATCAGCATCGTTGCCTACATGTATGCTCATCCGATTGCCAGGGTTGTCTGTCAAGGTCAGTCTATCGTTGTATTTGTGATGGTGGTGCCTTCGTTGTTTTCTGCTGTTATCTGCTGGTAGGCATATTTCATCCTGTTTCACGCTATTTGGGCTGAGGACGTGCAAGTGTCTGCAGCGTCCAATTCTTCGTGTCTTGGTTCGCAGGGGTGCCTGTGCACAGTTCCGGACCAACTACCTGCGTGAAATGAGGCGCAGGTTCTCAGCCTGCTTGCTTCCGTGGCCATATCGCTCCACCAAGAAGGAAGCTGGCGCTTCATGCGCCGCGTTCTGTGGAGCTCCAGACTCTTGGCTCTTGGCATCTTTTGGTCCCGTAAATCACACCTGCAAAGAGATCTCGCTATCAGCCTGCTGAGGGTTTCGGGTGGCCAGTGAGGGTGGTTTCAGATCTTTCGGCCGGTGAGCGGAGCACCTGGGCTGTGCCTACGTTGCTGCGGGACCGTAGCTAACATTATCTAACCATCACTCGTGTGCCGTCTATTTTTGTAAGGTTTGTCTGCCATCTTTACGTTTGGTAGTTTTGCGTCGATTGCGCCTCTCTGGGTCATGCTATGGCTGCTGTGGGTCGCAATTGCCAGCGGGAGCCCGCACTGATACCGCAAAGAGTCGGGAAACATGTCGGGTTTGTCCAGCCACATGCAGCTCAGTTGCAGCTCCAAGTGCAACCCCAAAAGAGTGACGTGGGTTTGGTTACAGGAACAGGCCCGAGTCCATACGGCATGTGAGCGTCTTTCTTCTTCTCCTGGGACGGTGTTTGCTGCCTCGCCCCACTGGCATGCTGAGGAATACTGCACTTCGGACTGCTTGGCGCGATGTTCATGTTTTCATTCTGGCTCCAGATCAGCGTGGCCTGGCGTCTTGATAGGAGAGACTGTAAACACTGGCTGAAAGTCTCGGCCTCCGCGCGTGTGTTGTCAGTGCAATGCATCGAGCTGTGAGTTGTTTTCTGTGCCAGCATGCCTGGCAGGCCAACACTCGCCATGGGCCGAAAGTTTGGTCCAACATTGCGAGCTATTCTGGTACTGTTCTGGCTCCCTTTCTCAGCATGCCCCTGGGTTGTGGTTTGCGCAGTTGTACAGAGTCTCCGTACTAGGACTGCTGTGGCAGGTTTCCAGCCACAACCGCAGCGTAGGTAGTTTCAACGATCTAGCTGACAGCGCTTGCCTGTACGCTTTTTTTCGGCTTGTCTGTTAGCCTGAATGCTTCGTCCAGGCTGTACTTCAACCGTGTCTACGGCACGATGCATCTCGACTATCTTTCAAGCCATACACTGCTTGCAGTTTGAAGCTTCATGTTTTCCACGTGATGGTAGATCCAAGTCAGGCAGTGGCTCTGCTTTCTCATGCGCCTGGGCTGCCGCCTACAGTAACTGAGTGCTGAGAGCATTTGGGGCCAGTGCTTGTAAGAGTTTTTCTGCAGGATTACGTTCGCTTTGTGTACGTTCATCGCCCTCCGGGAGCGTTACTCCGAGTGCCCGGCATACTCCGACATTCGCTGTGGCTCACGGCAGGCGAAAGTGGATTGAGCATTTGCTTGCCGCTTGCTTCCTTGACGTCAGCCGGGCAAATCAGAACGAAGCCCCAATGCCCACTTGCAGCTTGCATGAGCGGCAAGACTCTCAAAAGCCACAAGCCAACACCGATGCTGCTTGCCAAGGAGGGGCGGTGCAAAATACCTGATTTGGGTCGGCGGCAGTGAATGGATAAAACGGTGGGGTTAACGTTCCATAGTCCCTCCTCCTGCCCTGTAATTGATCGCTAGGAGTAATGAATCAATGAGCCTGACCTTGTGGTCTTGAACACGACCCCCCCAAACTTGCAAAGCGGCGAATTTATCGTGTACGCGCCTCGGCTGACCCTGCAGCTACACGACACGTGCGAGGGAAGAGGCTCAAGTAAAGAACTCAAGACAGACGGGGTGGGGGCAAATGGAGTAGTGGTGCGAATAGCAACAATAGCACGAATAGCGATACTTGAGCAATGATAGCAGTAATAGCAAGGACAGTAATAGCACGACGAGCAATAGTAGCAATAGCAGGAGTCAGTGGCAAAACCTCCGTGACACCTGTTTGCAGGGGGGGACAGGGGCAGAAGCCAGATGCGTGCCCCAGTCTTTCGCCAACGTCAGCTTGGGGAAGACATCGGGCCTCTTCCCCCGAGTCTTCTTTGGGCGACATGGGCGACGAATCCCTCTGTCTCAGTCTCTTTGGGAAACATTGGGAAACTGACGTCACAGCAGGTAGCTCGACTCAAGCCGGCCCATGCCAGGTAGTGGGCTGGCCAAGGCAGTCGCCAAGCCAATCTTGAAAAAAATCAACTGGTCTGCAGCAGTCTGCACCGACGGCTATTCCACGGTATCCTTTTTGCTTCCTCGCATTCTCCATTCTGTTGCTTCAGATGCTTGGCTGTTGAGTTTTGCAATGCCGTGTCTGTTTGCAGGCTGTGCTCTGGATACAATCGAACGCGGACTTTGCCGGAGCCGGCATTGCCTTCGCAGCTCGGTGCCTTCGATACCCCCCGGCGTCTGCTTTATTGTAGGTTGTGTTTATCGGTGATCTGCTATTAACACAATCAGGGACATCTTGCACTTTGTGAGGCTGACAATTCAAGGGCTTAGCATGCGATTCGCAAGGCAGCCATCAGTCTGCGGATCTTCGCATCAATTCTCCTCGAGCGCTTGTTTCACACCTGGAAGGCACCCTCGCGAAGCAGACCTATGTCGTAATTCCGGTTTGCAGTTGAGCAGCTCATGAGTATCAGGATGCCGAACATGTCTAGGCACCGGCTTCTGGAGGCTACTGGTAGTTGCTCCGATGACAGCAGTGCTTGGAGTCAAAGTCAAGAAGGAAAGCCTCAAGCCTGGGGACGGCTGCCTCGTCAGGATTATTATGCAGTTCTCAAAATCAACATGGACTTTGCGGCCTGTGGTGTTGCTATGTTGGGTTGGCTGCTGGCGGATCAAATCACAGACGAAGCCACAAAGTTTCAGACACTTGGACGCGAAACTTATCCAGCCTCATCGGTGGCGTTGAAAACAGCTACAATCGTTTCAAACAGCCCAGAGAATCAGAAGGACATGTAGATGTAGACTATGTTCCGTCGAGGTGAGCATGCTTTTGTGAGAGGGGTACCAAACCACAGAAGAACGTAAATGTTTTTATACATAGCTCGACACACATTCGAGTGTTTGTATGTCATAATGTGTTAAGCAGTATGCGTGTATATGTATGTATGTGTATTTGAATGTATGTGTGTGTTCATGCATGCATGCATGCATGTATGGACATGTAGAATGCCGGGAAGTTTTGTACACTGATGTGAAACTCCTAAACATGGGAGTCGCAGAATCAAAGGATGCATTCCTTGCTCGAGATGAGCCTGGAATGTTCTCGTTGCTGCCCTACACCTCGCCTGACCTGGTCGAGTATGTATGTATGTGTACATGTATACATTCAGCATGTACACATCGACACGTAGATACATGCATGCATGCATCATTGTAGCAGAACCGCATTTCAGGGCTTTTGGTTGCACCATTGCCGTTACTGAGGCTGAACTCCTCCACGAAGCTTGGCACGTGTTTTGGGGGAGAGAGGATGGACCTTACCTGTTGCACAGGGTAGTGCTGCTGTTGCACGGAGGCCTAGCATGATGCAAACGGCCCCGAAACGAAACCGGCAACAGATAGACCGTTCCGTCTCTCCGCCCAGTCAAAACACGCGAGGTTTTGGGGTACCTGGGCTGCAGAAGACTACGCTTTGGTAGCGGTTCTGGCTGCTTGGTTCTGGCTGAGCGGCCTGATGGTCAAGCAGCTGAGCACCACCGTGGCTGCGCAGCACTTGAATCGATGTTGACTTTGCAGAAGCTAGCAGTGTGGAACTATGAAGACCGCCTTCCTGCGGGCCTGCAGGCAAAGCACATGAATCAGCATTTCCGAGGTTTGGGTCATGTTTGGCCAACTTGCCGCGACAACTGCAATATTCATCAAGGACGCACGACTGACGGTTCGCGCACGTATGCGCGCGTGATCCTCTGCTTTGCTGGGAGTGCACACAGATAAGCTACAAGCATTTGCACTTTGCACAGGATCCGCTCTCTGCTGATGAGAGTCCCGGCATGAAAAACTGGACATGGACTTGCAGTTGTGCTGTGGGCCGCTCAAACCCCCTCTTAGGCTGGGGCACCGCTGTTCGTTTGTCAGGGGCGGGGCCCAATTTGAGGAGACCTCTGTGAAGAAAGAACCGTGAGTATTCGTTTGTTTATTTGTTGGTGCTTCTGCCTCTTGCCCACAGGCACGGCTTGGTGCTTTGGCTTCTTATGCTTTCTGCTTCACATTCTTGCTTTCTGACAGTTGCTTCGTGCTTTTAATGCTGTGCTTGTGTGTACTTGGATGACTTTTTGTGCTACTTTCAATCTCACGTGGGTGGCCCTCGCCAATGTGTACTGGCACTGTGAGAGCATCATTGACATGTTATAGCCCGCAACGTAGGCGTGGCAAGTGATCGCCGGCAATAACTGCATGGCGCGGCCTGCGCGGACTTTGCGGGAATTTAACTGCTGAGGCACAACTTCGGTGTTCGTCTTGGGCCATCCTTGATGCTGCTGATCATCGCATGGATGGCGTCTCTTATGAGGAGGATGTCTCTATCGCAAAGCTCTTGTAAATAAAGTCCTGCTGCACGGCGCAGAAACAAATTTTGACTGCCGGAGGACCGCTGAAGTATATGAGGACGAAAGAAAAATGGGTGTCGTCGATGCGCGGAAAGTTGTTGTCGGACAGGCCAGCACCCGATAATTCGGCTTCGGCCGCTGTCTTCTACAGAAGGAAACACAGGAGTGCAAGCGGGATGCAATGTGCAGGAGGACTGGGCGGCTGCCGCCAGTGCGCAAACGAATGAGATCGACTCGATATCTGACAAGCTTTGGCATGGTGTGTGCATGTCGAGTGATCCCCTTTCAGCAGACGAGCTCCCATCTGGCAGCCCGTGGCTAGTTTGTCGCTTGGATGCTCGTAATCCTTTCCGAGTTTCCTGTTCTTTGGTTCGGCAGGCCATGCGCAAATCGCATACATGAGGCGGCTACGACAAGGAGGATGAACTGCATCACTTGCACAAGGACCGGTGCAAGTCGATAGGATGAAGACGGGTGAAGATGGAAGAACAGTGGCTTTACTTGGAAACTTCTCCCTTGTGTCTCGAGGAAGAGGAGGAAGAGGAGCAAAGCTCCGGTTCAGGCATGGACACGCAGATGCTGGTGATTTCCCTCGCCTGGGCCCCGGCATAGTGTCACGGTGCATAATTATTGCCACGTACACCAACCCGGGGCTGCATGACCAGCTTGAGTTCTGCAGGCTGCTGTCCCAAAGAAGGTTCTGATGTGGAGTTTCAGAAGGTTTTCTGCTTCAGTCTTGATTTTGTTCTTTGGCAGGAGTGACCGCTGCATGGTTGCTTGCTCGCCAGCATGAACTCATCTGACGTTTCGAGCTGCGAGCGACTGAGAGAAGGCACCTAAAGCCTCGTGCTCTGCCAAACCAAACCGCGAAGGCCACAAATGAGAACAAGCAAGGAAATCGCACAGTTGTGTGCCCTCCAGCTCCACCAAGCACTGGCTCATACCGCCGGCCTCGGAGTGAGGAAGTAGGAGCTGCTTTGAGTCGGATGCGAATTGGCATTCTGTATGAGGCCTATGCAGCGACTGATACATTGAAAACACTCCTGAACTCCTATGCACTCTCAAGTCACTTGGCAGCACACTTGTCCGCAACATCTTTTTATACCGTGGGGCCAGAATGCCATAAGACGTGAGGACTCCCTGAGCTAAGGCTCACAGATCAACGTGAACTCCATGTCCTTCCTGTCTTTCCTCGTAGGACCGAGCCACGGAAGGATGGGTCAACCGTTCTCATCGGGGGGTGACTCGTGCTCGGATCCCATACAATGCAGATTAAACCGAAGCTCAGCTTTTGCCTCAGCCTCAGCCAGTGACATGAGCTGCCGTCTTGAGGACTTATCTTCGCTTCACTGATGACCTGGTATGCACATGGACTGGGCTGCTCACGGCAATCGGACGAGGACCCATGTGTCTCGACACCGCCGACCCTGCATCGTAGGCTCGTCCTAGTCCTAGCCAGGCGGGAGGCCAGCAACACCACCCGAGCGTTGTTCTTTTTGGTGGGTTCTTTTGACAATACTAGGAGGGCGATTAGCGAAAACTCGGTCGCATAAAAAGTGCACACCCTTTCGATCGCGCGCAAGGGCGCGCAAGGGCGAACGCAAGCTATGCTCAAGGCATGTTGTTAAGGTTGGTTCAAGAGTGATACTGAGCAGCGTTGTAGGTAGATTAGCCTTGAAGCCCCAGTGTTCTACCTGCAGCCGAAGCTTAGACTCGAAGCCACCAGCGATCAACAAGCCACAGTAGCAAACACTAGTCTTCAGAAAACCTTGCGCGCGCAAGCATGCCCAAGGAACGCGCAAGGGCGAAGCGCAAGGGATCCTAATTGGCATGCGAGCACAGCTCTGGGGTTGGCTGAGGACATGTTAGGTCCTCATCGCGGCACAATCTGAGCTCTGTCACGCTTGCAGGAGAGTGCGGTGGAGAAGCCTCTTGGCAAGCTTTTCGCGCATGATTTCTGGGGAGGGGAGTTCGAGATTTCGCTTGTCATGCTTCTCTACAGTACAGCATTGCCCATTGAGATTTGGGTCTGCGTCTGCTTCATCCATGTGTGGCTGCGCTTGAGCTTCATGTTGGCAGCGACTGGAGGCCTGAAAAGGGGCTCCTGCAAGCCTGGAACTTCCGAAAAATCTTGGAATATTCGGGCTCGTCGGTCTTACAAGCAGATGCTCGGCAGAAGTCCTAGAAGCCACGCAGAGTAGGCCAGGCTGTGCTGTACCGAGGCGACCATGTGCCTCAGAGACTTCGCTGGAATTTTCTGCCTTTTTTTGGCAGGGTTGCTTTAAAAGATGCTCTATAAGGGTTCCCCTCCCATCAGGGTTCCAAAATGCTTCCCGAAGGGTTACTTCCTTGTCGCATCCCTCCTCCCCACTCCCGTCTGCATTCACTGTCACGAGTGCCGAGGCAACATGGCCTTTGCCTTCGGTCTTTCCCCCGCAATGTCTGCAGTGCTGGGCAAGGCATGTGAACATGCACCTGTCATGACCCCATGTTCCATGGCCGAGCGTGGTGCTGTGGAGGTGTACACGCCGGTTCTGGCTGTTGGGGAGCGGCTGATCCTGAAGAAGCGCAGGATGCTTCCGAGTTCTCCCCTGTAGCAATTGACGGAGGGTGACTGCAGGAAGACGATTGAATGGTTTGCCGTTACCATCCTGACGCTCGGCACCTTCGCATTCCTCTATCTGCAGACGCTTGGCCTGCCGATGTTTGGCTTTGGTAGACTCGGAACTCAAGCTCAGCAGATTGGAGTACTGGCAGCTCCTTGCAGCCTGTGGGACATTGCAAAGAATGGCTGCTCCCCTGTTGACTGAGGATATATGACTACGAGGAAGGATTGGCGAAGGCCTTGTCGTCGTGCAAGCAGGGTTCAGCATGCTGTAGAAGTTTGTCTTGGACATGCCTGTTGAAGCGATAAAACGGTCCAAGGCTAGCCCGAATGTTTCACAGAGTTCGCCGACCCCGGTATTTTGCAACAGAGCCCGGTGCAAAGGCAATGTCCAACTCCTTCCCGCTCATTTTGTGCATTCTCGGTGCTTGCACGGCCGCAATCCAGGCTCGCGGGCCAATTCGGAAGCTAGATCCGGGTTTGTTCACATCGTAGCATTTTATAGCAGCAGTCCCCCTGTGCCCTCTTGCCCTCCCCTGCAAACTGGCGCGGCTCGGTATCGCACCATTGTTTGCTTTTGGCTTGTTGCATGTGATGGTTCTAGGTCACGCAGTGGTGGGCATTCCCGTGCTTCAGGCGTTAGTGTCGCAGGGCATCTACGAAGAAACTTGGCAGCAAGCTGGGTGCAATTCTCGTAGCAAACGCCGGCCTGGTGAAGCGTTCGAGGCCAATCGCGATGTGGACTTCTACATGAACAAAGTTCGCTTCTTGACCAATAATATAGGGGCCTAAACAAGTACATATACTGTTTTGGGGGTTCCATATTGTACCCTATAGTATAATACAGACTGGCCGCATGCCAAACAATTGCGGATCGCTCCGGCGGATCCCTGTGGACAAAGCGCAAAGCGGCGGAAAGCCAGCATAGCAACTTGATGGTGGCTTGCGATGCCGGAGCCAAACATGCCCAGCAGGCCAGCCAGTCTCATGGGGCTACGATGTTGTGGCTTTAGTGCTTAGAGGCTCATGGGTAGTTATAAGTGGGGTTATAAGTAGGCTAGCTATAGTTATAACCCATATTAGGGGACTTATAACCCCATTTGTAACTACCCATGAACCTCCAAGTACCTGAGGCTTTGATGCCGGGAGTGCAGCTTTCATTCTCGTTGCCGCCTGGCCCTGAGCTGTCCATCGCCTTCCACAAGCTCGCGTCCTGCGCCCATGTTCACAGGTGCCGCTTCTAAGCCTCACGGCCAGTCGCGGCAAGGCACCGATGTTTGGCAACCCTGCTAGCTGCTAGCTGCTAGCTTGATGCTTGCTTGTTTGAGGGGTCGAGGTTCAATTACCTCGCAGCATGGGCTGGTGCTAAACCGTGCTAAACCTGACGTCAGTCACTGGTCACGGAGCTGAGTTTATTCTGGGTTGCATGTCCAGAATCTTGTTGGGCCCCCAGCCTTCGTGGCATTGGCTTGGCCAGGACCTTCTGTGGTTGCCACGAGCTGTAAATGCCGACTGCGACGTGAGCCAGTGCTGGCCAAAGGCTGAACTGCCACCACCTAGCCCAGACCCCGCGGCTTTGTCACGCTTGGAAGGTTCCATCTCTGGCGAACGGGGGCTCGATACATTGGCCTTGGTCAATGGAGGAGAGCATGATGACCTGCACGCCGGAGGCTTGCACAGGCCGCTTCGCAATCAGGAAGACTCTTAGAGACAGACCGGATCTGCAGATGCCTCAGGCAGCTGCGCCTGTCAAACCGGCCTCTTTGCCGGATGGGGCCTGCAGCCGGAGCTGTACTTGTTCTTGGGAGTGACTGCTGCTAGGAGCATTTGGCAACAGGGACGTTTATCGGTTAGTGGGTCCGTTAGGTATGGGAGGGCCGACAGCATGGAGTGTAGTGGTCAGTTTGTGGGGCTGAGGCTTGCAGGCAAAATGCACTTCCGATGTTGTATCGATTCCAACTTGCTAACCGCAGCGCTCATGGATCCCCGTTCTCTCTCAGCCATGCGCATATGCTTGTACAAGAGGCCATCGTAACCAATGATGGAATGAAGCGAGGTCTAGAAAGGTGCTCTTCCGGCTTCCGACCAGTTAGGCAGTTAGGCACTGTCGGGCTGCAGGCTGCCAGGCGTGTTGTTCGAGTGTATTGTGTGTCTACGTATGTATATCATGCAGACCGCTTGGCAATCAGCAGCTGAATGTCATCACCATGCGATTCATCCCCGATTCGGTGCGGCCAACAGGTAGTCGGCGTTCCATGCACGGCCACAGTCAACTCAGTTGCAAGGCTCTGTTTTGAGATCTCTGACAAACATTTTTATCTCATGTAGTGCCCCCGTGGGTCGCATGGAGACCAAGCGAAGAAGGTTGCAGGAGACCACTCGGGAACCGCAATTGCAGTATCGCCTGGAGCGGCTCTACCAACAAATGGTGTGCATTGAGCACGAGATGGTGTCAAGTATTGCCCGCACTTCTGCGGACGACGAAGTGAAGCACAAGATCAACGGGATGCAGCTTCGAATGCAAAGTGTCATTAGGGATGAGCTGAACTCTTTGTGTGGTTCGACCCGCGAGCCAGCAGAAATCGCACGAGACATTGGCTGCTGCGTGCTTCAAGCAACGTCAAGTCATGGGCGAGACATAAATGGACACAACGACGACTACCGCCTAGAAAACCACATTGACATGGTATCGGACAAGGTGAGGGTCGCGGCTTTTAGGTCTGCAATCTCCCGTTGTGCGAAAGGGAAGTCTGTGCTGGATGTTGGCACGGGGGCCTTCTGTTTGCTAGCTCGCATGGCTCTGTGCTCTGGTGCTTCGCGCGTGGATGCGGTGGAGGTGAATGCCAAGGCCGTCACTCATGCTGCCAAGTTGTTGCGCCATGAGGTCACCATGAGGAATCGGAGTCAGAATCTGATAGAGGGCTTGAAGCTAGATGAAGAGCTCTCCACCTCCTTCCCGGACATACCACCATTGGCCGAGCCCGATGCATCGGTTACATCCTTGGAAGCCGAGACAACTGGGCAGCTTGACAGAGCCCCGAGCGCACCCTGTTACACAGTTTTGGTGCGAAGCCCAGCGGTCTCCTCTCGGCTGCGCTTGTATTCGGGCTCTCTGCAGAGCCTACACTTGCAGGGTCCTTACAGTCTCATCGTGCATGAGCTGCTGGGCCACATCGCCAGCTCAGAGGGGGTGGCTGAGACCCTTCAAACTTTGCGATGTCGTGGTCTCTGCACGGAGCGATGCACCTTCATTCCGAGTGCTGCAGGTACGCTTTTCGCACCGACCAGCAAACTGAAAGCAAGTTCTCTGGAGAAAGTGCTTCACTGCTTCTTTAATGCTGAAACCAGAATCCAAACACAAACAAAATACCACGCCAGGGGTTTTGATGCCGCCAGGCTGATGGCAAGGCCGCGGTTCTTTGAGTTTTTGGAGTTTTCGGTTGAAGGCTTGGCAAAGCTGGAGAATACCTGTCGGAGTCGAGTGGTGTTCATAACCGACAAGGAGGGCGAGTTCGATGGCCTTCACTTCCATTTGCATGTGCAGCTGGACGAGCTCACCGAAATTGACACCTTGTCTTCTGCAACGACTTGGTCCACAACCTATGTGAAGTTGTTGGAGCAAGCCGTGTGGCTCCCGGAAGGTGCCCGCATAGTTTGCGAGTGTGAGTCGGGGTCGAGGTCTGGAATGCGACGATACTCGGTAGATGTGTCCGTGGGGGAACCGTGGGATGAACGGCCGCTAGCTTCTTTCTGCTGGGAAGGGGCCACCTGAAAGGGGTCCTCTGTGGCTGCCGTCCGAAGCTTCAGAAAAGGTGCGACGCTTGTAGGCATACGAGCACCGCCAGCAGAAGATGTACGACGGCTCGCGGAACGTGACGGATGCACAGACAGAGTTTCTGTTAAAATCGCGGGCGTCTGTGAAAGAACGCGAGAATACGAAGACGTGGCTGCTGCAAGCAAAGCGGCTGTGCCCCGGGCAAATCCACGAGTCCCGAAGCAAAAGAACGGTCGTTTTTCAATCCTTGCAGATTTTCGTCGAGTCTAGAGTGTAGCATCAGGCGTTTCGTTCAGTCACGAGACTCGAGGTTCAGCCATGAGCAGGGGCGAAAGAATGAAGCACGGATCGGTTTTCAGATCAATGTTGGGTGGCCTGCACTTGCTCTGTAGTCAGGGCTTGTAGTCAGGGTGTCCAACCCATCAGCCAAATAAGAAGACGGGTCCCGCTGCAAACCCAGAGAGTTTGCGCAGTTAGAATTCAACTTCTGTTTTCACTGCTTCCAAGGTTCTGTACGGTACCTTGGCCTGCAATGCAAGATAATGCAAGGCAGTTCTGTGATCGATTTTATGAGTAACTCCATGTAACTCCCTAGCGCATGTGGGGCATGCCTGCAAGGAATCCTGGTCGGCATCATCTATGACAAGTATGGATCGCTTCACCGCGCCAAGTGCGACGCATTTGGACTGCTGTTGGTCTACTGGGTTGGCAACCCTTTGCTCAACTACTTGACGGAGGCACTTGTACGATAAGTCGTGACGGCACGTCCAGCCACTCGATGCAGTGCCTCGTGCAGTGATGATTTCATGTGCCCCACCGCAGCACTAGTCATATACATGATTTACATGCTGCAATTGGGCCTGACTTGTAACTTTCTTGTCGCGAGGGCACGAGCTTCCACGTGAGTCTGCGGGACGAGTGCTTGGACATCGTGTCCTTCATCGCATTTTGGCCTGCAAGAGTGGGCACGGCCACAGCCGCACGCTACGTGTAGCCATGTCTGAAGCCATCGATGCAGCCTCAAGGGCTCTGCTTGGTCATCCCGTACCCGACATGAATATTTGTGTATGGCCGTGCTTGTGCTTCATGCTGCAGGTACCTCTGGCAGCTTTGTCCACGGACATAGGGAAGATCATGACATCGGAAATGCTGCAGAAGCTTGGCATAGACCAAGTCGCAGTGGTGACATCGCTTTCCCCTCGAAGAGGGTCCGGGGTTCCTCCTTGCTTTGTGGCTCAGCCCCCTCCCAGACCATTTGACCAAAAGTCAGTGGCTGTGGATTACTTTTCCAGCTAAAGCGTCCTTGTAGTACGCAGAAGTGAGTGTGCCGAGATGTAGTCGTGGGGTCTTGGCGGCACTGCTGTGGCAGAGTGTGCCCAATGTCGGCGCATGTCGGGGAGCTAGACCCACGAAGAAGTTCTTGGATTTGGGTCTAAGGGAGTTTGGGGCTTAGGGTCCTAAGCCCCAGAACATGTAAGGCAGTTTGCAATCAGGAACATCGTAAGCCCAAGACTGCCGCAGGAAGGTGTCTGCATTCCGTATGGGTCTTTTCGCCGGCCTGCTATCACGCGTTCGTGGCCGGGAGGTCGTCGTGATGTGGCTTTGATCTGAAATTCAGAGGAGAGTCGCGCACGGCGCACGTCAAGGTGTTCAGTTCTGCGAGCCAGGGCGGTAGTCAGAAGGCCCATACAGGGAGACCTGCAAAAACGACTCAGGCATCTCAGCGAAGTGAGTTGTTCTAGCTTCAATCATCTACTCCGGACTTGCAAGCCAGTCCAACAGAGTTGATGCCCCGGCTCCAGGTTCAGTGATCCAGGTGGTGCCCAGGAGGAAGAGTTCCAAGAAATTATAGACCCTCGACTGCCTTAATTAAGCGAGTGCCGTGTCTTCGAGGGTTAAGCTGCGGGTTCAGCCGTGAGAAAACCAGAAGACCAATTTCCAAACATGTCGTGCCAGGAGCTTCTGGATCAGCGCGCTGCTGATATTCGAAAGAAGGGTGCGCTTGTCCGTAGCTCCGTTGCAAGAGCCATGGCTCATGGCGTAATTCCCGCATGTTCTGCGACGGCTGCTGCAGACGAGTGACCACAGCAACTTGCTGAGGTGTGGTGGATGACAGAGATATTCCTGATCACTGGCTGGGCAAACTGAGAATACTCTTCAACTCCAATGTTGGCAAAACTCAGCAGAAAGCGTACAAAAGCTTGCGCGACCTTCTGAGTCGCGGTCTCAGTGCCTCCAGCGAAGCCAGGACCCACGCTCAAGCGTGGCCCGCTCCAACCCTGGCCAGTCGATTCAGTGGACCATGATCTTCGCTGGCAGTGTGGAGATCATGCAGTCATTGTTCTGGCCAAGGCGACGCCAGGATCGAGTCTGCACCAACCAGGGTCGCGATTGGCGTCAATTCTTGGAGCCGAAACTACCACATGGTCGCACTATGCAGGCGCACGTCTGAAGCGCATGTCCATGGACTCCAAAGACCGAGTGTTCTGCAGGCACGGAGTCAGTGCCAGCACAGCTGGCCTGAGCCAAAGCTCCGTGAGAAGCCTGGGAATTCAGGAGATCAAGGACTGCAAGGAATCCCGGCAAGCCTTTGGAGCTTTTCATTATTACTGGTATCAAATCTGAGCAGCCAGCAACTACGTGGCTTTCGCCGCTATCTCACCACAGGTTTGAGGGATGCGACACATTCTTGCTAACCTAAGGAGGCTTTCGCGAAAGCGGCCCCGTGGCTGCACATGGACCCGTGTGGATGTCGAAGTTCTCCTGGCCTTGGCCAAGGCCAGCATGCATGAAAAGCTGATGAAAGTCACCAAGGACCCAGTGTATGTTTGTGTGTCGGGGGGGGGGCGGGGGAAAAAATAGCTAAAAGGGCGATTGTCCGGCATGCCCCCTTATCTGTTTTTTCACCACTTTTTTACACCGTGCCCCCTCCTCTGTTTTTCTAAGGTTTATAAAAAAAAGTTCCCCACCTAATCCATT